AACTACCCAAAGATTCCTCGTTTTCCAGAGTCACCGTAAAAGATAAACTGTAAGCTGCAACTTGTCCTCGAAAATCTCAGATTTTGGTCCTGAACAAAGCTTAGACCACCAACTACTAAAACTAAGACATGGTGATCACCACACCCATCCCAAGATAAAGGTAACAACTTTTAAATCATTTTAGCCCTTCCCACAAACCCCACATGTGGTGTTGTCCTGAACTCTCCTTTTTGCAAGATTATCCAAGGTGGGCGATATATTTGTGGGAACATTTTCACAAAAAGAGTTTCAGCTTATTTTTGACCTTAAGGCTCCAAGTTCTTGTCCACATTTTGCTGGTTGAAAAAACAAAAAGGAAAACAAAAAACACTCAAAGATTGTTAGAAATAGTAAACATTTTGTCGTTGAAGAATGTTTTGACAAGTCTAACGAGTCATAATGATGCATTATGTATGCTAGGAATATAGAAGAATTCGTTTGGGACGAAGAAAAAAAAAAAAGAAACCACGATTCTGAGTCCGAATACAAGCACGTACGAGCTCTTGATGCACAAGTGCGCATCAGGTCCCATCACAGCGTGATGATAAGACTGTATATTATATTAATATAAAATATATATCTATGTAATCATATTCCTAAAACATTAGAACTCCATAATATATATACTGCAATTATTAACAATAAATACTAGCTAGAAGTTTGATTAATTTACAATTAAAAAAATATAAGATTTTCTTTTAATTTATTTTATTCGTCTACCAAGAAAATCTTCTAGAAATATTTAAGTTTATCGAATAATGTCAAACTAATATTCTACATCATGACTTTTAGTAGTCTAATAAAAATTTTATTAATTTTTCTGAAGCCGATCGAAATCACTTTTTTATAAGGCATGCAAGTTGGTCAATTTGTGGATCTTTATGAATGTGATCAAGTCGATTTGAACAGTCGGGTCTGAGTATGATCCACCATCACATGCAATTGTGCTGCCTTATTTCTTACAACGCGTTACAACTTAGACCTTAAAATTAAGTGGTCTTGCATGTGAGATAATTCATTAACATGTTGTTTGTACAACGAAGGTACAAATAAAACGGGGTACAACTCAAACGGTCTGTAAGCTGCAGTGATACCAATGCTGTAAAGTATCAATCATAGAGGAATTATATATATATATATATATGGGAAATGCTACGGTCCCGTTCCGAACCAATTCCGTCGAGATTTGTAACCCTTAGATCATCATGTAACCGTCAGAGATAGTTGATTTAGCGGTTACAAATCCTGACGGAATGGACCCGTAACGGGACCGTAGCATCTCCCATATATATATATATAGAGAGAGAGAGAGAGAGATTGATTAGCTTAATTCAATATTGATGGCTGTCATTTTTTTGTACGTGCTTTTGGGTGAAATTCCCAGGTTTTGCTCAACCTGTTTGCTCTCACACTTCGCCTTCATACTTAGTTTTGGCTTAATGTTGGATGATTAATATAGTTTATACATTCTCTTGTCATAATCAAATCTAATATTCCCTTAATAAATTTTAGGGCTAATAAAGCTAATTGGAAAAAAGTTTTTTTTTTCTTCGAAACTCAGCCACTAAACGAATCTATTGAGAGGATCGTCCTCGAAGGAAACTTAAATACCAAAATGCACCCCCAACAGGAGAATCTAAATTACAAATGGAACTGTAAACGAGCCAAGCTCGAGCTTAGAGTGCTCAAGTTCAAGCTCGAGCTCGAGCCCTTAATGAGCCGAGCCGAGCAAGTATACGAGCCTAAAATCGAGCTCGAGGTCAAGCTCGGCTCTTAAAACTTCAAACTCGAGCCTTAACGAACCTTATCGAGCCGAACCGAGTCAGACTCATTTAATTTTTTTCTTCCTTTTTTAAATTATCCTAAATATTCCATTTAAATTTGATCTTCTATTGTATTTCGTACCCACTTATTCATAGGACGATGCTTTTTATATTTTTATGAATGAAGGAATTAATAATTAAACATTCATATAGTGATTTCTGATTGAGATCCGACTTCCTCGAGCAAGTTGACATTTGACACCCAACCATATATATATTCTCTATAAATATAAATCTTAGTTTCAGATTAAAATAATTATATATATCATGGGCTCCGTTGACATATCTGCCAATAATTATAATATTTTATAAACATGTGTGTTCTGTTCTCACAATATTGAACCATTTCGAATAATTTTTTTTTTTTGGTACATTAAAGGAGGCCAAAAAGCCTAATCTAGAACACGTCGGGGTATGAGACCCCAATATTATCGTGTTGAAGTCACTCGCCTAGCCCTATAGGAATACTTGAAACTCGATGCAGTCCCACCGAGTATGAGACCGCTAAGCTTGTCATGTGATCAGTCGAGAAATTCGCTTCTCTATAAATATGTTGTAACCGAACATTCCACTCCTTCTGCAATAAGTCCCAAATGGCCTTAACCATAGCATCGCCAAAGGCACCATCCACATTCGTCACCATCCGCATGACACATTTAACTAACAGTTAAACACCACATGTTTCCACAATAACATATTCATGTGTTTATTTTTATAGTGTTCTCTTTAATTATATTTGGCAAAAAAATATAATAAATAAAATAACTTAAAATTCGTAAGCAAAATTTGAAGACAGGATTTGAAGGGCCGTGATGATCTTGCTTGCCTTTACATATCATCCAAGGGCCCACAAAAAAATGTGGAATTAGATGCCACTTAGTGCTAAATCAATCACTTTTAGACTCGACTAATTGAAATGCTTTCCCATCAATTTTTTTTTTTTTTAATTTTTATATATAGTTGGCCTAATTAATTGTTACATAGAATTAGCCAAATTTTCTTTCAGCTTTCAAGGCAGTTGGGAGATCATGTCCAAGACGACCCACTTCTTGTCAAATCTTCACTCCCCAAAATTAGAGGTGGCAATCAGACGGGCCGGTTCACTGTCCAATCTGACCGGTTGAATCCAGAACCGGCCAGATTTCATGTAAGGGCCGATTCATTGAACTGCTAATTTTTTAGTAAAAATAATAAAAACAACTCAGACTCGTCTTTCGACCTGGAATTGGTCCGGTTCCAAGACCCGTAGGTTCGGGCCAGTTTCGAGCCGACCCAAACCTTGCCACCTCTATCCCTAATTGCTTATTTTCAACAATAGAAAATCAAAAAAAGCAAAAATTGTTTATGATCATAAATCTATCTACTCGTGTAAATGAAATGGACCACTAACTACCAACTTATATTATCTTCACAAACGAATTCGTTTAATATGCGGGTCCAACTGATATAAATCTTTAACAAAATTATATACTTATGTTTACATTTTTTTTTAAACAATGACATTAAACTATTTAAATTTGAAAATATGCACATTTGTTTTAAAAGTATGAATGACTAGCTAACTACTATATATTAGGCCTGACTAACATGGGAAAATGCTAAAAAAATGTATATTCTTGATGAGAACATATATTTAATATTCATGCACTTCAAGAAGTGATGAAAAAAGTATAAAGAACCTAAGAATTTATTCCTACTCTGTTACAAGAAAATGGTCATATACCAAGATAATTAATCCTAACATGAAAAAATTATTGCACTCAAACAATTATATGTTTGAAAATTTCAACAAATTTTTTAATGGAGAGCAAGAAAAAAAAAATATATATTTATATTAGAGTGGCCCAGGAATATTTCAATGGCTGTTTTTTTTATTAAAAAAAAAAAGAATAAAAAATAATAATCTCTCAATGAATCGATTTTCTAACCAGGATTCTCAAAATCGGCCCGCCGTAACGGTTCACTAATTGGACGGGTTGTTGAACTAGTTGTATTCTAGTAATTTAAGTAATGAATAAATATAAACATTATTGATTAAATATATAGATATTTATAATTATTTAAATGTATAAACCAATTGATTTTAATGAGAAAAAATGGTACAAGTACATAATAAATATACATAGGTGTACATATAATACTTACATGGAGTAAGGTCGATTTGATTTTTATTTTTTGTCGGTCTCACTTAATATGAGTTTTATGTACATCTCTATGTACAATATTATGTATCTGTAGAGTTTCTTTTTTAATAATTTATACATATCCATTATCCTCAAATATGTATTTATATTTATATAAAAAAAATATATGTAAAATAAATAAAAACTTGCTAAATAAGATAGATCGATTCAACCGATCTACGGTTTTGACTGGATTGGTCACCAATTTGAATTGAACCAATCTAGTAACCGATTCTCCATTAAAACGGTCTAATTAGTAATTAGTCGATCCGATCTAAGTATATAAAATTTTAACTAGTTATTAAGTCATAATGTGATTCAAGTTTGATTGCAATTCATTTTCTTGATCTTCAAATTATATATATAAATATAATAAAATAAAATAATAAACCCCGCTCAATACGTGGATTTTTCTTTATGGCCGAGTGGTTGCTCGGAAATTTCTAATCTCAGCTTAAGAAAAAACCCACATTCAAATCGCACCAAATCATACATAATTAACCAAAGTCCACAAGTTTTTTTTTTTTTAGCCACCCACGATATTCGGATCTATGCCCGACTAATCTGTTGGTCGACCCAGGTCGCACACCTGGCAGTGGTGAGTGAGTCTCCCAGCAAAGATTTTCTGCATCCACAAGGATTCGAAATCGAGAAATTGCTTAAGCGACATCAAACTGCTTAGTAATTAGTCCCAAAGTAAGTCCACAAGTTAAATATGGCTGCAAAAGCCATCATAACTTTTACTTTTCATAGTGGGACAAATATAAAAACAAATATTACTATATAAACAATACACCCACTTTCTAGGGTTAGGTTAAGTTCAAATTCCTTGTTGACTTTTAGCTTTTCCTATACAACTATATATATATGTAGTCCCCCAATCATCTGACATTACACATCACAAAGTAAATATCCTTCATTTTATATCCTGAAAATAACTTCAGAGTTACTATTAATGAAGAAAAAACAGGTTGTGATCAGACAAGAAAGATACCAGAGGAGCTCGAGCAATCATATTACACGAACCGTAAGGTACGCCGAATGCCAGAAGAACCACGCCGCCAATATAGGCGGCTACGCGGTGGATGGCTGCCGGGAGTTCATGGCAGGCGGCCCTGACGACACTCCGGCCGCCCTCAGCTGCGCTGCCTGCGGCTGCCACCGGAACTTCCACCGGAGGGAGGTCGAGAGCGAGGTGGTGGCTGACGGTTCTTATCCCACTTGATATATTGTTTTGATTTATTAATTACACGAATATTAGTTATTGGAGAAAAAAGAAAAACGATTGATTGTTCAGAAAAAAGCTTATTAAGTTATAACCAATTACGAAAATTAAAGGTTTGTTTGTGGAGAAAAAGAGTGTGTGATGCGTTTGTTGTGTGTGTGTGTGTGCAAATGTTTTGTACTTATGATTGTAACTTAATGACATAGTCATAAATTTTAATTTATATAGGTAAAACGATTCGAGTTAAGAGCTCTCTGAAGTTTCATTTTTCTCTTTGTATTAGTAATTTTCGGTGTATTATGAACACGGGAGATGCTAAAGTTCGGTTACAGAACTATTCCGTCGGGGTTTGCAACCGTTAGATCAACTATTCTTGACGGTTACATGATGATAACGGTTACAAACCCGACGGAATGATTCCGTAACGAGATCGTAGCATTTCCCTCTGAACACTACACAAACACACTTGATTTCTTCATGTAAATGAACATAAGATCAATATATATGTGTGTTATTAGCTTATAATATCTCTGTTTGATTTGATTCTATTCATCTTATATTTTTCTTTCCCACCGGAAGATTCAAGCATCACCGTCGGATCAAACGGGTGTATTTTGATCAAACGGTGTGCAGTTACGTACCTTTCCTTCCAATAACTGATATTTAATTCCTACGGAATCTGCTAATCTTCATGTGATAGTACAAATATTCATTCATGGAGATTATAAATTAATTATAAATAAGAAATTATTTTCATATAGTTCACTAGATAATTAATTAAGTTTGAATTTATTATTGTCAGATTCTGTGTACATTTTTAAAAAACTAAATATATGTAATTAATTATAAGAAAGATGGGCAAAATTAATTAATGTGAACCAATGAGCAAAGAGTCCAGTTAAGGTCGTAGAATATAATTTAATAGGCCCAGTGATTTTGGAGGCTTTTGGGCTGTAAGGAACCAAAAGACAAGATGAGCAAAAAATCCAACTGTTCAACTACTACTTTATTTCATGGCAAACAAATTAATATGAAAGCAACACCTTTTTTTTTTTTTTT